CTATTCAAGGACTGACACAAAAAAATAGTAGCAAGTAACTCGCATATCCAATCTTTAACCTCCTTCAAAACCCTTGGGGAAACATTATCTGGCCCAGGAGTCTTATCATTTTTTAAACTTCTCATTTTTTTCTTTACCAGCTCAAAATTAATGCAGTCATCTTGTTTGATCTCATTTCCATTTATCAACTGTTCAAGATGTGGAATACTGCTTAAATCTTTGTTAGTAAGAATTGAAGGAAAAGTTACAGCTGGGTTAATCAAACAAGCCAGCCCATACTCTATTTAAATGTAAACCATCCAATCCAAAAAGCTCCCTTCTTCCACTGAACTGATCTCAAAAGCCAACCAGCCAAACTGCTCATCCTTACATACTAACTAAAGTAAGCCTAGCATTTAGCCCTAATGACCTACTTCTAACTTCATCCCCACAGTTAATTCTTGGCAGTATCCCTGACAAAATTAACTTATGGCCTTTTTCTTTAAATGCCTTTATCAACCCCTTATACTTATTAATTAGTTATAACTAATTTGTTATAAATATATTCATATTCGTCATATTTTAAGCTTTGAAACAGCATAGGATACAAAATTTTAATTTTCGAGTACAGGTTCCATCCACATAGGACAGGGTTTGCTACAGCACCGTATATAATTTAGTCTGTCAAAGAAAAAAAGTGGCTAATAAACTATTATTAAATGTTCCTTTGCATACTTTAAAAATCCATGCAACAAACTATTGTCTGATTCCATTTAAAATATGCATGTTTCACTGATAGTAATAGTATAAATATACCACTCTGTATTGAACCTGGTAGCACGTGACACTAGACTTTATAATATTCGATCATAAATCATGCTGTAATTCAAATAAATTTTCTCGGAAGAATTTCTTAGGTGGCGATAAAGATTTCGTAACACGCTAGAAACTTTAGACTAATTTTGAATGACGCCTCTAAACATTGACGGCGCTGCACCTGAGCTATAACTAAAGTTATACTACAAGTGCGAGGTTACGCACAAGTTGATTTAAAGAAAAACAAATATGTTTGAAAATATAATAATACTGTGACAGCACCCAACACTTTACGCAAGTTTTGGCAATATAAAAGTACTCCAAAATAGGAATAAATAATACAAACTCAAAATATCACTGTTTTCGATCACTTGCTTATAAATTATAATTTAACTTAGTAATTATAGTATTGTTGCGTCAGCGAGGTCACGTGACTAGTGTCACGCCACCTCTCGGAACCTTCGGGAATAGTCGGGAGATTACGAGATACAGGGTAGTCTGCTATATATAAGAGGGTGACAACGTGACGGGACAATACAGTGTGTGTAGGTAGTGAGTAATTGATCTGCAGTGAGAAAGTATTGTTGAAGTTAACGTTCGTTATAGCGTTTGTTTTAGCGCGAATGTTGGAATCAAGTGTATCGTGAAGTTATATTCAGAAAGAATAAACC